CCTAGGGTCACTAATAAAAAAATGGCACAACACCTCAGTAAATTTGTGGAGGCTGAATAGTTTCATGATTAAACATGCTTATGCTGTTTGTACATCTTTTCTAAAATGTTTTTTCTGGATCTCTCTTGGAGACATAATTCTTGACTAGATTGACCTTTAATGTACAGGGGCATATCCACTTTTAGTTAGAGAATGATACCTTTTAGGAACCTCACAAAGCTGACCTTCTATCACTCAGCATCTCAGAGCAAGAACTCCATTTTTGCCATTTGTGCAAAGTACATTATGGTTTGTGACAGATCCGGTGGAAAGGTAATGACTCAGGACTGGAGTGTTAATGCATCCTATAACCCCTCCACTGTGCTCCTGATATTTGCCCTCTATTATCACTGACTGTCAAATAGATCAGTAAAGTGAAGAAGGGAATATCAGACGATTTCTTCAGTCTTTTGGGTTTGGTTTGTGTTTTTTTTTTTTCCAGTGTAATTATTTTGATTATAGAAAATTAGTGGAGAAATCTTCAACAGCTTGGCTCACTGCACAAGGTGGTATGTAAGCCAATCATCTCTTGACCCACATATAAAACACCTTCAAAGATTGTGATTGCAACAATGGAAGCTGGAACATTCTTGGCTGTATTTGTTCATCAGGACTTAAAACAGCTATAAAGCAAAGGGGAAGAGAGTGAAAAGATGGAGAAATAATCATGACAGAACTCATATGAGCTATGTAACTGCATTTGCTGCAGGGTCAAGTTTCAAAATTTTTAAAATGCCTCCTGATATGTGAACATATGATATTCAGAGAATAATATAATCATAGAAGGTTATCAAGTTGGTCAAGCATTACTTCCCTCTGTGAATTCATGCTGACTAGTCCCATTCCCCTTCTTGTCTTTCATGTGCCTGAAAATGGTTTCCAGGATTAAGAAGTGTTCTATCATCTTCCTAGTGATTGAGGTGAGGCTGACTAGCTAATAGTTCTCCATATCTTCTTTCTTCCCCTTTTTAAAGATAGGAGTGACATTTGCTTTCTTCCAGTCCTGAGACATCTATCTCAGTCACCATGATTGTTCAAAGATTATTGAAAGTGGACACAAAATTACCTCAGCCAGCTCCCTTAGTACTCATGAATTACATTTCTTCATACTTTACCATGAAGTGTATGTAAACCACCTTACCGCACAGGAACTTGCTCATGTGGCCTGTCAAGTAGTCATCTTCTGCACTTTTAAATCACTCCACAATTTTAATTACCCTAACAACATACAGTGGTGTTGTAGCTGGAGCTATAAATGTTTTGAAACTTCATAAAAGAATTCACTCTGACATAGGAACTCATTGAAATGCTTGAGATTCTTGATCAATATTTGCTGGTGGCTTTTGGAAAGATGGCATTTACTTAGCAACAGTAGAGACTTTATACTGTATACTTTACCTATTGAAAGTACTTGTAACTGTACAATGGTGTTTGCCCTTACAATAATTTCAATATAATGTTGACCATAGTAAATGAGAAAAGCAAGTAGAGAAGATAGTCATACAGTCATAATTCCAGTACATTACAGCAGGAGAGTGAAAACAGACTAATGTTTCTGTAGCACCCATATTTAACTTCTTGTCTGTTCCCTGTGTTTGTACTTTTTCATTACTTTTGTAGCTGATGATATATGAATTTTATTTTAAAATGTGAAAGAACACAGGTTTTGAAAGTCATATTTCTGGGGTATATGGTCTTTATAATGCGTACTTTGTTTGTAACTTCCATTATCATTAATAGAAATTACAGGACAGACTGTAAAATATATAAGCCTTTTTCTGAAATACGTATATATATGATACATACAAATGTCATTTTAAATTTTTCACTGAGCTTTGAAATGCTTCTCTAATTTCCAGTTATTAAAACCTGCAGCTGTACTTAATTGTGAATGAGAATAAAAGTGGACATTTTATTTCAGTTATTCCTCTTTAACAAAGTTTGTGGACTGGAAATTTAATAATCGTGGTGATCGTATAGCAACAATATTCTTGAAGGAAGATTGCTTAACCTGTGAAAACCTCTTATGCACCATATTCCTTCCATAGGGTTGTGAACACTTTGGAAAAAAACATTCTACCTGCCGAGTATTAAGGCATAACTCACACGTCTGTTGGTGGTCCTTTTTTGGCCCATCATAAATAACTCTTTTCAAAAGCTTACCATCTTTAGTATAGCTGTCTTTAAAACGAAGAATTTGTGGTATAGAGAGGTGGTATCATCCCACATTGTCAGAGATATTCAGTTGCAGAGAAATTAAGGTCCTGACCCAGGAAAAGGATTGAGACACATCCAGATTAGTTAGGGTAAAATGACCTAACTTGTTCAGTCTTTCCCTTTGATCATCTTTGCGATCCTCCTTTGGACCCTTTCTAGCCTGTCTTTTTTGAATTGTGGGGACAGAGACAAAGATAGGAAACACCTGTCCCCGTTTCACAGCAAAGGCTCAGATCCTTAGGCTATGTTCTTATTTAGCAGAGGGCCAAAGAATATTTTCCTTTTTTTTTTCTTTTTTTTTTTTTTTTGACACACCACCACCAAGAGAAGTTAAAAGCCTTCTTTCCTAGCTTACCCACTCTTTTCTGTATGACTGTTTCACAAGAGTGGGCTATGTGGGTAGGAGTGCCTTAAGTAGATGAAGACACTGAACTACAATGTCCCCCTCTTTGTACAAAGTGGAAAGTGCGGAGGAAGTAATCTTTTTAACAGAAATGAGAAACCGTTTCATTCTTTCCTTTGACAGAAACGTTGAAGAAAAGGTGAGAGCAGCACATCCCAAGCATAGATCAAGGCCACCTTCCAGTATAAACTGGGCATTTTTTTTCCTGGAAGATGAGGCATTTGAAATCAATCCCTTTCTTCCCTGTTATGGCCTTCAATTTATCCATGTGCATTCATGACTCTCATTTTGGCATAATTCGCCCATAACATTACAGCAGGCTGTTCGTTCTACTCTCTGAGTTGCAGACTTTAAAGGTAAGTAAGTGTTGGGAAACACACTGCGACCACTAAATCCTCCTACTGTGAATCCAAAAGAGTGCCTCAATTAACTTTGGAGTAACAAATTGAACTGAGTAGTTTTATCCAAAACTATGGATCAAGACAAAATAGTTTTCCACAGAATTGGTTTTATTCTCCTACCTTCATGAGGTCAAACCTCATGTTGAAAACTTGAAGAGAAAGAAAACCAAACTCTTCTTAAGAGAAATATTTTTACCACATTATGTTTTGAACATCAAGCCTGTCAAGTCTGACAGTTAATAGTTTCTTATATTTGGTTCACTCATCCTTGATCCACACCAACACACAAAAAAACCCTTACAAAACATGCCTTTTATCTTATCCATAATCAAGCCGCTGTTATTATAGATAGTTACAGCAAGATTGTTTTGAGGAATAAGTTTATGATCATTCACCAAACACACTTCAAACTACTTCCACCAGCTCCAAATTAACTTCACTCATAGTTTGGGGTTTTTTTTTCTTTATATATATTTTTTTTTCCTAGCTACCTCTAGCTATAATTAGTCACTGAAAATTGTCTTTCTCCATGCCTGGAATATGTTTTATACTCCAGCCATAGTTCTTTTTCCTTGCTAGAGAAAATCCTTCATCTGATGAAATCTCAGAAATCTAATGATCAGAAACCCATTCAGGAGCACGCAGGACCACTCTTCGTCTTAAAAACCTATAATTGAAGCAGGGCAGTCAAATCATTAAAGGTTGGATTTTGGTTTTGTTGCTTTGTTTTGTTGGGTTGTTGGGTTTTTTTTTTTGTTTGTTGGCTTTTTTATTCAGAAAGGCATCTACAAAAGTAAGAAATAGCTAGCAGGCATGAAAAAATGTTTTTTAATGCAATTTTCCTAATAGCTCAGTTTTCATAAAGAGGATGCAATGATTTATTTTAACAAGTTCTTCTAGCTCATATGCAGTTGTAAAACTAACAAGCTACAAAGCATGATAAAATCAAAGATAGCAATCTGAAAAAACTTTTAAAGTTACATTACTGCCCATTTCCAGCAGCTGGTCCAATTAATCTGTTAATGTTTGGTCTTTCAAATCTGAGAGAAAATGCTGAATCAGTTTTGCATTATTTCAAAGGATAAACTAATTCATTTTTCTAATGTGAAGCCATAAAATGGCTAAATGTGAAAACCATGAAACCAGAATTGTTCAAATTATCTTCTTGCCTTTGATTTTTGATATTTTCTTGTGACTTAGAAGTTATTTAGTGCAACCTGAACTTTTCATCGCCAAACTTCAGAGATCACACTAGACCCAGATTTTGTTTCTCTTTTCCAGAGAGCTTTTGCAGGAAGGCCATAGCGCACAAAAGAGTGGCAAAGCTAATGAAGAAGTATGAGCTGCACGAGGTGATACAATATATGATGGGAGAGTCAAGAAAAAAAAAAAATCACAGCATCCAGTGCTTTATTCACAGATATCTATATGTATTTTTTCCTGATGTTCATTCTTCCCATTTACTTAGTATAATTTGCCATTATCCACATTATTGCTTTAATTTTTTTTTAAAAAGCTGATTATTTAGCAAGTAAAAACAATCTCTTCTTTTAGGCATGAATAAATATCATGGAGAAGGTTCAAATGTTGAATGTTTGACTATTTCTGTCACCACCTTGGCAAAATTCAGCACTACAATTCTACTTAGAAATAAAAAAAAAAAAAAACAACAAACAAAACCCACACAAAAGCAAAGAGAACGGAATTCTGAGCTTACAAGAGCTTCCTCAATAATTGTTTTGGAAATATTTTATGGAGTGCCGTATTGTAATGGTTTACAATACAGTTTACAGGAGGCTTTATGGGTCAGATTTAGAAACCAAGGAGGCAAAGGCTGGTAAAATCAGTGCCTTGAAGCTACACATATGTTCACATCACAGCCATTTATACAAATAAAAAGAAAAAACAAAAGATAAAGGATCAAGGGAGAGAGAGTTGGAAGTTATGAACTGAACCCAAATTTTGCAGAAAACCTAGGTAAGCCACTGTGGCTACATGACACAGCAATATGGATCAGCAATTCTTGTTCCAATGCAGTATGACTGCAGTAACAGAGAGGCATAAGGTAATGCTATTCCTTGCTTCATTATTACTAGTTCTTGACCCAGCTCAGTAACAACAAGTTTACCTGTGTTAACCCAGCTCTGTTCAAACCTGGGTTCTCTGGTGGACAGTTCTTAGAAATTAAAGTAATTAACTAGGAATGTGGATTGTTCCAGTGCAGGCATATCAGTAGTCATCAAATATCACTTTATACCTCTTCAGCCTCTCAGTTCAAGGGTCACAGAGAATGTATTTTAAAAGCAAATCTGGAGAAGAGACAAGAAATACTGGGAAAATGGAATAAAATACTCAACAAATTATTCAGGGTCAGTGATGTCCTTTCCTAGTAGTAACAGCCCAACATCTACAATTACAGGAATCAACCCAAACAGCCCTGCAACAGGGACTCAGAGGCATTTCTCCATATAGAGACTGTAAAAAATGAGGGTGGCATCTGAGTGATAACCCTACAAAGACAGACTCTTGCCTGAATGTCTGTCCAGGAGTCAAACATCCCATGCGCTTCAAATGTTTCAGTTCGAAGGCTTTAAAGTTTTGTGGCCACGATGGTTGGTTGTTGCTGTTTATACCAGCAAGGACAAAAAAAAAAAACAAAACAAAACACACAAAC